AGTGGAAACAGAGACAGGATAAATGGAGAAATTGCCGGTTTTTCAGGATTTCTAGGTGTCTTGACAATAAAAGTTGAAGCAAGACTAAAGGCTTTAACAGAAAGTTTTCCACTTAGGTCTTTGACAGTGCTTGCTTTGTTAAGAGTCAGGAATTATCTAGACAGCAGACTGGATTATAATGTAGTTTAACATGAAAAACCCAGAACCTCAAAATAACCAAATCAAACCAACCAAAAAACTACTGCAACAAAGACAAGAACCCACCAAAAACACTTCCTGAAGAAAATAGTAAAGTGAAGGACAACATTATAGGTTACCAATAACCCTAATATAATAGTTTGTTAACTAGTATTACTGTTGACTGATACTGAAGTCCTGACTAATCAACTGTTACAAGAATTTAAAGGATTTGCAGACATAGGTTTAAAATGGGGATCTGAAAGCTTTACATAGACATATAGCTGCTTCTGACTTGAGTTTCAGTTCAGGTTTCACTAGAAGGAAGAGTCAGGTTTCCTGTTCCCAGTTACAGAAACCACTGAAGTATCCACCTTTTGGATATGAGAACTCATATTTAGAGGAGAAAAAAAACCAAAACAAAAGATGTCATATTGGTAATCTATGCAGACTTGACTCTATTTGAGCTTGAAGTCAGTTCAAGCAACAACCCAGTCTCCACTCTTTACAGAAACGAGGCAGGAAGAATAGATTTTTATTTTATTAGAAAGACCTTGATGCAAATTTGAGTAATGTCACATTTGATGCATCTGATGTCCATTTATGTGGAAGAAAGCAAGCATGACTTCAGACAGATGTCAACTTGAGGCAATAGACCTGTAAGTCTTGTCTCTGGAGCCTGAAGGCAAAGGTTGCGAAACCTTTATGTCCCATTGCTGATGAACTGAAATCTGGCTGCTGTTGTTCAACGGGTTAGCAGTGGCTAATTTAAAGATGGGCTTCAGATACCATCGTACTGATAACCTAGAACTGTGGTGTTTCTTTACATCTTAAGTTGAGCTTGTCTGCTAGAGGTTGACTAGTCTAATGTTCTGGATCAAATATGATGAAATATATTTTCTGGTTAATATAAAGTCAATGCAAAAGACATGTATGTAAGTGTATAGTGTTCTCAACTGAATTCCTAGTTACCGAGTTCCTAGTTACCATGTTCTTGAGGGGCTTGCTGAATTTAAAATTTCCCATTGAATGGGAAAGCCATTTGATGCTGAGATGTTGTTTTATTCTTTACAAGCAACTGAAGTCTTTCTTTGAGATAGATTCTACTCTCAGCTTGAGTTTACAGTATTGGAATTTTTTTTTTTTTTTTTTTTTTTTGGAGTATGTTCTTTCAACTCAGGGTAGATGCCTCTATCTTCCATTTCCTGGATTTCTGTGGGAGTTTTACTGCTGGAAGGATGATGAATAACTGTGGGATGTGTATGGTCTCCCCAGCCTGTATGACAGTTCCATGGCCCTGTCAAAAGATGATACCGCTTAATTTCATAGAGACGCTGTCTGATCTGTAGAGCAGTTTTCAGCTCTTATCAGAGACTTAAGAGGCTTGGCTGCTTTTCTTCAGACAATGCAAGTGCCTGCTTTACAAGTCCAGCCTGTTGATACAATCACTGGATTCTTCAGAGGGGATTCAAGCTGAACATATACATGTATTTGTTGACCGTGCAGCACATGTATCCTTCTTCCCAACTGCTTTTTTTCTGCTCCCTGTGTTGAGCCAGCACAAATATTTGTAAGGGTCTGCAGTGAACTGGATCAGGGAAGCGATCTGATCAAAAAGTACCGCTTTTTAATTTGTAGTCATGGCTCTGGAAAGGCCATTGAGTTCCACTCAACCCAAACATGTAAGTGATGTGCTTGATATTAGGTGAGATGAATACCCCTCTTACGCCTGTTTGCTGAAAATTAATTTCTGCTTTGTAATTTTTTTCTCCATTAGCAGTTGCATCTGTTGTGTGAAAGAGAGGGTATGATGTTTGGGATAAATAGTTTAATTACCTCCTGAATAGTTTTGTTGCTGTCCTGTTATTAGTTACTCCTTAAACAGTAATCTTGTCAAAACAAACAATTCTTAGAACTATTTAGAATATAATCAATGTGTTATGTAATTGAAATAAATCATTGGAGGAAATCGTGATTATGTAATCATGAAGGTATAGAAAGCAGCTGGATAGTTTTAAAGCAGAAATGTTGCATTTAAAAGGAGGATGAGTGGCCCTGGTTCGGAGACATTTCTCTAACATTAATGTACGCAATGAGACTCCGCTTCAGAGAGTTAGGACCCATGCAGTAGCTTCTACTCTGTGCCATTAAATCTTGGAAAGAAGCTATAGGGAGATGCCATCAGAGATTGAAGCTGGCTCAGTAACTGCAAAGTAGTTGAGCAGTGACTGTTAGTGATTATGTCATTGTTCTTTGTATTTTTTCAGTCTTCCTTGGCTGATCAGTTGCTTTTTTCCTGTCTCTTTCTGTATAGGGTCTGCCCAAATTTTTGTACCTGAGCAGTGTTAAGCAATAATTTCAATAAGTATTTTGGACTTTCTGGTCTTTGTAGGTTGTGATATTGGTACAAATGCAAAATTTTTAACTGTGTCTTTGTAGATACTGCAGTTACAAAGTTCTCTTTCATAAGAAGATACGGTAGCATTTTCTCTAGCAATCCAAGATGACTTTTTATGTCTTGCCTTTAACTGAGTGTTTTTAGAATCATACAGATGGAGGTGTTAGATTTTGCTTGGGAGGGGCATAAATGTTAAGCAGATGTTCCTAGAGCCTTAAATTTCTATTAATACAGATTCTGCATTATGGCTGCTTTGTGCTTGAATATTATGTAAGGAATCTTTCATGTTTAGTACAGGTACCTCGCTTGTTTGTTTGCTCTATAGAATTTGTATCCTGATGTTATATTTTACTGTTGGTAATACTCTTCTTGCCACGTGGCAGGTGTTGCTTATGTTAGTATTGCCTTACATATGTTATTACTTTCAAAAGTGATTTGCACAAGAAAAAGTGTGGATTTGTAGCACTGATTTGTAAATTACATTTTATAATTTTATTAAGTAATTTCCTTATTTTTTCTACATAAAAATAACTGAACAACTAACAAAACAGTGACTTCTAAGAACTGAGATTTTTGTTAAACTAGTGGGATCCTGTATGCCAAATATGATGTATATTGCATGCTACAAGAGTTTCTGGCAACATCATTATACCTTTCTACATAGGTGGAAGACATCTGTTCCATATATGCCACAAAATGAACTTAATTCTAAAATTTCAACAATTTGCCTAAATAAGCCACGTTGGCCTTATCACTACATTTTCTTCTACTCATGGTGGGCTAATAGGAGCTGGTGCTGCAACACAGAAGAATTGTACATGCTTCTGACAGTACATCTGTTGAAGAATACTTCTGCTTAGTGTAGCATACAGAGTCAGTTGCTCACGTGGTACTGTTCGTGCCTGAGCTGTCATTAATCAGCACTGCTCTTGTGTGCATCTTCTTACTGCTGACTTGCTTGTACAGCATGTTAATTCATCTGTTTTAGCCCTGTCTTTAATAAAAGTACTTGCTCATGGTGTTGGCTAATTGCTTGTATGGAAAAGTTGATAAAAATTGTTAATTTTCAATAAGAAAATCTTGCCTTTCTTTTATCTTTTTGGATCATGTCTTTTAAAATCTAACGGGACAGAAAATCCTGGGACCAAGGAAATGCTGCTGCCCTGCTCAGTAAGTTCTGCTTGGGTTTGGCTGAGTAATATAAAAAAAAAAAATATTCCTATATTGTTTTTACCACTTTTAATACCAGTCAGCAAACCATTTGCAGTGTTTCAAAACTTTATCAAATCTTCCCATGTGAGATGAGAAAGGTGCTACCTCTGCATCTTCTGATGCAATGAGAGGAGGGAGGAAAGTAAAACTCATCATAGGCTCCACTTTCTGAAGCCACTGTGGCCTGTATTCTTCCTTCAAGAAACTCTCTAGCATTCCTCCAGTTCTGCAAGTACTTATGGATCAGAGAAAGAGGATTGTCTTTTCTCCCTTTTTTGTTCGGGAAAGAATGTTCTTCCTTTTTGATCAACGGATAAATTAACATCTTTTTTTCCTGCTGCAGACCAATATAAACCAGGTTGCCTTACAAGCTACCTAATATCACTTCTGTTTAATGCACTGCCCAGTTATAAGGGGAGTTGTTTGTGGAAAGAGCATTATGCAGTACATATGTACATTCTACCATAGTGCATAAAAAAAATAAGGTAGCATAATCAAGGTTGTGTTGAATTTTTCATTACATAACTTTTAAGAGCTTACCTTTGCAACTTTATTATCATTAGTCAAAATTACTGTAGGTGAATTTTGATTTGTTTTAAAGGCAAGGATGCTTATAAGTTGCAATATGGTATCTTGGAGTACAACTGTGTAGAGGGAAAGAATGCAAAGTTTTTCAGGTCTTCATGAAGAGGTGGCTCATGAAAATTTTTCATCCCATGAAGAGTAAATTGTCTTTGTTTTAGGTTCTTAGTACTTTGTAAAATATAAAATATTACTAGTATGTAAGGTTACAAAGTATGAAAAATAAATCAAATGTCACTGGATAGAGGAGAAAGCCATTTCCCAGATGGGAGACTGAACTTGATATTTCAGTTGCCAGATTTTATTTTCAGCTATTTTTATTTCTAGTTGGTTTTTATGTTTTGAATCAGGATATTGGCAATATCCTGTAGCTTACATATTTCAGGCTCTTCCTGTTCACCTAAGTTTTCTAAAAGTATCTACTGCAGCCACTAGTTTTAAACGTGCTGTGTTCAGCCACATCATTCTCAAAGTGACCTAGAGGTAATGATTGTTTCAACTTTAACCTTGATATTTGCAAGCCAGCCCTTTACACAATCAATTTGTTTATGCAATAAATCCAGACTTTGTTACTGCTTCTCAGAGACCTTTGCATCTCAGAGACCTGTTTCCTTACAGGGATTATCCCTACTGTGGCAAGTATTCAGTGTGGAAGAGCTTGGGGTTTAGTCTCCCACCATCCCATTCCAAAAGTGAAGCAAATAACTGATTGCTGCATGATTAGGTATTTTTCTTTGATAATCTGACTGCGATTTCTTTAAGACCTGTTTCAAGTTTTTAGGTAAGTTACTCAATGGGTGTTTGCAGTGTGGTGGTTGGAAAGGAGGACTTCTGAAAATGGACATATTTCAGAGATAACAGGCTATGAGAGAGCACCAGTAAAACTTGTTTATCCTTAAAACCATAGTTACATGAAATTGCGTTCTTATTTTTCTATGTCATACGCTCTTGTTTTCAGTTTACTTTGTGTGTGTTTGTATGTGGATGTAGGAAAGGAGGTATGGAGACTAAAATATTGTATGGGAAACAGAAAATCCTCTGCCAATGCCTTTGTGGCGCAGAATTTTTCTCTTAAAAATAAGAAGAAATGTTGACTTATGCAGATGCTTGTGTGGAATCATCATGCTGCAGCTACCACATCTACTGTACATGTACAGCTTTTTTTGTAAAGCAAAATACTCTCTGTGAATATTACTTAAATTAACTTCATACTCATTACCCTTTCTATTTTAGAAGCTTTATGTTCATACAAGCAAGGATGAATACATATTAAGTGAAACCTGCCAATGAAAGCATACATATGTGTGAACATGCACAAAATATAGAGAAGAGGGAAGGCAAATGGTTTATTGCATGAATACTAGACATTTACTTAAAGGTTTTTCATGCTTATGAAAAACAAAGTATAAAAATTAATTATAACTTTTTCAGTAATGAAAATATTGGTATGTTCGGACAGTCTTAAGAAATGGTTATGTAACAGCTATGCTTGCGAAGGTAGCCAGTTAATCATTGACAATAGCCGTAATGATTAAGCAGCTGTAATTTACTAGTAGCGTTTGAAAGTACAAAAGGGTACGTAATTTAATAGTTAAAACAATAAGCCCTTCATTTATGTTTCACTAGTTGTTAGGTTGTTTTTATATAAATTCAGCTAAAAAGACTGCTGAATTTTGTTTACTGTACATGTGGAAAAGTATGGTGCAATTTGGGCAATACCAGGCATGCTGCTGAAAGAGATGTTGCCGCGTTCAGAATTCAGCTATCAAGCCTTCCCTTTGCTTTCCTGTCAAATAATGCCTGTTTTGTTTCAAGGTAGACTTCAGTGTTCACTTAATACTTTAAAAATACTTGTGCTGGACGAAGAAGTCATACTTGGAGAGATGAATGTGATTCAGTAGGGAACTTGAAGTAATGTTGGGTACAAGGAGCTTAGTGTCTCCTGGAACCTCCTCAGCTATCCTGGGGCAGAGTACTTGTGCTACATATCTGCAGAGGAATATGTTTCTGTGCTGTGAACAACTGTTTCAGCCTGGGAGGACCTCATGAAGAGCGCACTGGAGGAGCAGTGCCAATGATATGCTCTGCCATTCCTTTCTTCCTTTTTTGTTGATGGCTCCTTAGTGAGACAAATTTGGTAGTCTCCTTTGGATTGCTGGAGAACAGTTGTTATTATTCCCAGCTATCATTACAACAACAACATATATCAAGGTTTCTTTACTCTTTTCCCCCATGACATAATAGCTACATCACAGGGACAGAAAGTTAACTTCACTTTCACAAATAAAATACATAGAACTGATTTCTCATTTCTCAGCTTGAGTATATTCCAGTTATGTCAGGAATATCAGGTGCATAATGTAATGTGTGGACTCTGTTAGATAACAAACAGCAAACAGCAATTAGTTCTAGGGGTTAATGAGCTGGTTCATGCTGCCGCAAAAGAGAAATTGTACAAAGATACTTAAGATTTAAAGTATTGGCAGAGAATAACAGATTATGTTAACCAGAAGTGTTTGCAGTTGATTCTTTGTCTTTCATATTTTGTGGAAGTAATATTTTGTAAGGTACTCTGCATCTGCAAAATTAGAGTCTTCATGAGATTGGAAGCATTGTTCTGAGTACATACAGATGGTTTAGCAATAAAATGTTTGTCAGATAACCTACAATAATCTGTGCCATTTCCCTTTGGTGTGTGACCATATAATCCTAAAGCATTAGGGTAATAATTTTTTTTAAGTCATCTTTTATTTAGAGTCCTCATTCATATAATTTCTGATTATTTTTTTCTTTAGTACCTATGGTCATGTATGTTACAATAATTTTGATTTCTATTTTATATCTTCTGACAGGCTTATGAGTATCAAATATAGATATTTCTTAATATTTTGTCAGGTTACAAGCCAGCAGGATTTATAAGAGAAATGAAGGTGGTTCTTGGAGACATGAGAGCTGTTGAGCTTTAAAAGAAAGTGACAATTGATATTTATTTTACTAAATAGTTTCAGATTATGGAAATTCTGTAGGGACTATAATTACTACCAATTACACTTCAGTCCTTTATGTGAAAGAAGTTGTTTCAGTTTTTCCAATATAATGTTTATGTTGTAAAATAATTAGGCGTCATAATCAGTATTTCTTGGATGCTCTAAAAATGAAAGCTGCATCAGCCTTTCAACTGATCCCTTCAGAAAGAAGTTGAGATGTGCATGAGAACTCTTGTATTGCTTATAAATATTCTATTACAGTGCTGACAATCTGGCACCATGTCCTAATGAGTATTTAATATATCAAATTGGATAACTTAGTTCGACTGGTTTTTGGTTTTTTTTTAAATACAGCCAGGCTGTGCATAGTGATAGAGTGGCAACGTGACACATCCAAGTAAAATCAACAGTAGCATATCTGTTGTCTGTAACTGGTGTTAGAAATCATGGATAAATTCCCATTCGTAGTCTTCTAGATACTCTTATTTGCTATACCATGTGATATAGAACATATTTTCCTTTTCTAGTTAAAACTATCCTGTTTTGAAGAGATTGGGTAAATAGATCTTTACTAAGGTTCCCTTGTAGTATGAGTTGGCAAGTTAATCACAGTGACAGCATCTGGGCGTCTATCCTAATCAAGAAGGGAGAGTGGAATTCTCTCTCATTTGGTTTTTAACATAAGGTATTTAGAGATTGATTCTTATAATTTGTGATTCCTTTCAGTCTTCAGCCTTCAGAACTCTATTGTACTTGGCTTTGTTTTAATAGTCAAAATACAATGAACCTGAGAACTCTGCCATGTCAGTTATGCTGGACAGATCCTGAAATCTTCAGTGTTTAATTTCATAAAGAACTTAGTTTTAGCATGTGAACTGGGTAAAATGAGTGAAAGCTCTGGATTCTGCTACATGTTTGTGTGTATTACTCCTTTAGTTCTATCCTTCCAGGTACATGGTAAGCTATTAAACTAGGGAAAAAAATCTGTAATCTTTGCTCTACAAGGGTATTTCAGGTGGAAAAATGTCCCACAAGCTAAATATTACAACTATTTTCATGAATTACAGGAATAAGACTCTAGACACTGTTTAAGTAAACTTTTTTTAGCCCCAAGATAGTTTCTTTCAAAAACAGGTGCAATGACGCACAGAGCTGTAATAAATTGCCCAAGGATACGTAAACCATATTGTTTTGTTCTAATCATCAGAGTTTATGATTACACTACAATTTCAGTCTCCCCTTGTACCTGAAGGGTTAACTTTTTTATGTCTATTCACTTGGCTAAAAACGAATAGTGGGTATATAGGATGTACAACTACAGCCATTTGGTATCACAATTAAAAAATTTGGGTACTGTGAAAATCAAAAGGAAGTTTTGCCAAGTCTAATGTATATACTTGAAATAACATTGAGTAGCGGGAAGGATGTAAATTGTGGAATAGAAAGCTTTATGTAATACAGATTTTTTTTCTTTAAATTGTTTGTTTTGACAGAATCACAGAATGAACCCATTGGAAAGCACTGTAGGAGTGATATATATACACCATTGATTTTCCACGAAATAGCAGAAAGAAGCAGGAGTGTGCACGGATAAGTGCACCTGAAAAATAAATAATTTTAAAACTGTGTGTGCATTGCTGGTCGTTACAAGCATAACCTTTAGTCTTCTTCAGAGGAGGTCATTCTGCCCTCAGTTACATCTGTGTAATACCTTGTAAAGTTATGCAAATAAAATTGAAGGCAGACTTTTGCCATCAGCCTGGATATAAAAGGCTTGAGTGTAGATATCTTGCTTCAAAACATTTTGAATTTTTTTGTGGATAACTGAATAGAAGTGGTGTCTGTCTTTTGTCATTAGCATGTAAAGCAGCAGTCAGCACTTTGTATTGCTTTTAACTGTACCCTTTTGATCAATTACATATCCAAAAAAAAAAAAAAAAGTTTTTTCTCCAGAATAAATGCCCAATTTTCATGGGATGAATCTGTCATGGATTATCAAAGAAAAGGATTGATTTCTTAATATAAAATGGTTGGTGTCATAGGAATCCAGACTAGTTGGTATTTGAAACTTAAATAACATCAAGGAAGATTTATTTTTTTTAAACTGTAAAAAATTAATTGTTGTAAAATCAGCATTTGTATATCTCCGTGTAGGCAGTTGTTGGAAGTTGGCAGTTTCAAGCTTCACACTAAAGTGCAGTTCTTTGCAAAGGCCAGCATTGAGCGGTAACCCCAGTAACAGTCAGAGCTTGTCTAAATGCCTGTGCATGTTCACTGCATGGACAAGACTGCAGCAGTATGTGTTTGTACACATACTGTGTATAACGCAAGTATTAATTACTTGGTGTAAAATATGAGTTTCTTTTAGCAGAAGTATATCTGTGCAGCAGTAGTAAAATTCTGCAGTACATTTACTAATTTCTTACCTGACAAGTCAATGGCAGATGAACTAAAATTTGACTAACAGCAGATTTCTAAGAAAAAGTCACAAAGTTGATGATGCTGGTGCTTAGTTTTGAAGAAAACTTTAAAAACTTGTTTCACTGTAGGAAGTAAAACTAACTCTAGGAATTACAGAGATACTGGGTTGTATATGCTGGAGCACTCTTGCTGAAGGTGTTCTTTGACCAAAGTAGGTCAAAAAGTATTAGTTTGGCCCACTTCTACAAATATTTTGGTATAAGACAGTGTTTTGTTCTCTGCGGTGTCGTAAGACCTGTTGAACAGATTTGGAAGAGATTGGAACAGAGGACCAAATCGACATATCTAAAGCTGTTAGATAAGATGAGCAAAGACTGCTCAAACATAATATGTATGCATATTGGTATTTGTTAATTTTCTATAAATTTTGGTGGGAAGTGAATAATGCTTGCTATAAAAACACAATATGTAACTTTTGTCAACAAAGGAGAGAAAACAGCCATCTACAGATTGATCTTGTTATAACTTTAATTGAAGTATTTCGGGGATTTTTTTTTCTCTGTCCTGTTGATGATCCATGTTTCATAAAGCTTCTGGAGCAACTGTGTGTTGTATAATATCTGAGTGTGTTGTATAATATTGTATTAGAATTCTTGTATTCAGTGTGCTGTAACTGATTCAAATATTAAATAAAATATTCTGATATTGTGAATACAGTATTATTGTACTTATAAATTGTATAAATATAATATAAATTGTATTTTAAAAATTATTCTTTCACCAGAGTAAAGAAGTTTAAGTGACTGCTCTACTTGATCAAAATGGTGGACACGGAAAACCAGCTCTATCCCCTTACTCATTTGGAGGAGGATGATATCGGCAGGCCCTTATTTGTCTGGAGAGTTCCTACAAGATATGGAGAACATTCAAGACCTCTCTCAGTCTCTAGGTGATGATAGCTCTGGAGCTTTAAGTTTAACAGAGTTCCAGTCACTGGGAAATGGTCCAGGATCTGATGGATCAGTTATAACAGGTAAGAGAGTTTTGGTTTACCATAAAACTTTCTGTTATAAATACGCAGTGATAGAAATGAAAAACATTTCTAATGCAATAATTGTTGTTTATGACTGAGTAACACTAGAAATATACAAGCTGATTATAGCATGGTCTTAAAATATTTAAGGCTAAAGTTAATTTATTAGACAAATGTCACGGTAATGTAAAGTTGCTGTTTTAAATTGTCATTAGTACCAACACCTTTTTAAAAATAATTTTTAAAAAATAACAGTTGCTAGCAAAGAAGTTACTACGTAATGTCATACAGGAAGTCACAATATTGCACTAAAGGAACTACCCATTTTTTAAAGTTTCTTCAAATCACATATATTTGAAGAGTATGGTGAAATGTTTGCCAAAAATTTATAATCTAACCCTTGAAAGCTTACCTAGAATTCCAGTATATTTTAGTGTACTGATGTTTGAAACATGCTGGTTCTCAAGTAGCATTGTTCAGCTAATGACTTCTACCCTGGTTGGAATAACAGTCTCAGAGTGCTGATACATTATATAGTCTTTAGTCAAAATACCTTTTTGAGAGACTTTGTTTGAGAGATCATAATGGAAATAATTGAAGCGGTATGGGACACAGCAATAATGTCAGTAAGGTATTCCTTTTGAAACTGTGGTTTTACAAACCTTCTAGCAGTAGAGCCATTTTAAGCAGTTTATGATTAACTTTCTGTTTGTTTTACATTTGTTTTGGGGGTTTCTTACTTTAAATCGATTCCTAGGCTGTGTTCACTATTTTACCTTGCAAAAACTGCACTAATACAACTGAGGTGTGCCTCTGTGCTAAAGTGGCTGAAATGAACTGTGTGAGTTTTGAAGGGAGAAGGGAGATGTGCCTCTTGGCACTATTGCCCAAAGGAATGTTTGTAGAAATATGATTTGGGTCCCATTTGGTAGCAGACCTTCACATTAGAGAGATGCCTAATACAGGAAAAGTTATTGTGTGCTGAGTTTATAACATAGTCCTTCTGCGACATGAGTTTTTCTAATTTTTTGTGTGTATGTACAAGTCCTGCAATAATTTAGATCAGCTTCTACCTTCAAATTTGAGTATTCAGTGTTCATTGCAAAACGTTCTAGTTGTGCTGTTTGAAACGATGGAAAATGTAAACTTTTAAGGCTCAAATTCCGTTAGGCAAGTAGAAAGAAATGAGAATCACACTTCAAAAAAATCCTGTGTTTTAGGCTGTTCTTGATGACTCTGATGCCTGTGGGCTTGGCAGTGCTGGCAATGCAAACTCTTGAGTTCTTTGCCAAGGTTTTTTCCAACATAATACTTGCTGACCTACATTCACGAGTGTTTCTTAATCTTTCTGTTAAAATAACACACCCATTAATTTGCTAAAGTCTTGTAGTGCAAGTTGCAAGATGGAAGATAAAAGAAGTTCTGGCCTCAGAAAATATTTTCCTCAAATAAGGTGGTAATATTACTTGAAATAATTAAGATTGCAGTGTATTCGTTTTGCAACACATTCATCTGGTAGTAAAATGTCTGGAGAGTTTATTTCATTATCCAACAATTCAGAAACACTTTTCCCATTATAATCAAAAGGTAAAACATCTGAGCAAGGCTCTGATTGCTGGATTTTCTTAGAAGCAGACATTTGTATTACCTTCCTTTTGATATCTATTTGACCTTTCTACTGATGTGCAGGAGCATGCTTTCACTTTGAGAAAATTCTTTAGAAAGAGAAATTGTCTAACCGCTTTTGAGGCCTCAGTTATAGATCATAACTTAAAACTAGTGAGTAGCTCTTCAGATGTCAAGGGGACTTTAAGTATATCTCAAGCATAACTCAATGTGAGTTAGGAATATGTCTCTCGTACCATAGCATAGATCTGATGCTCAATGCTGCGGGACAAGAGATGGAAGATGTAAAGGCACATTGAGCTGTTAGTAACTTTTCTGGAAAG